AGGAGTTTCTTATACAGTGTTGGAGTAGGAATATATGTAATCGCTTTCATCAGCTGAGCTCAGGAGTTTCCTATACAGTGTTGGAGTAGGAATATATGTAATCGCTTTCCTCAGCACCTGAGCTCAGGAGTTTCCTATACAGTGTTGGAGTAGGAATATATGTAATCGCTTTCCTCAGCACCTGAGCTCAGGAGTTTCCTATACAGTGTTGGAGTAGGAATATATGTAATCGCTTTCCTCAGCACCTGAGCTCAGGAGTTTCCTATACAGTGTTGGAGTAGGAATATATGTAATCGCTTTCCTCAGCACCTGAGCTCAGGAGTTTCCTATACAGTGTTGGAGTAGGAATATATGTAATCGCTTTCCTCAGCACCTGAGCTCAGGAGTTTCCTATACAGTGTTGGAGTAGGAATATATGTAATCGCTTTCCTCAGCAGCTGAGCTCAGGAGTTTCCTATACAGTGTTGGAGTAGGAATATATGTAATCGCTTTCCTCAGCTGAGCTCAGGAGTTTCCTATACAGTGTTGGAGTAGGAATATATGTAATCGCTTTCCTCAGCAGCTGAGCTCAGGAGTTTCCTATACAGTGTTGGAGTAGGAATATATGTAATCGCTTTCCTCAGCAGCTGAGCTCAGGAGTTTCCTATACAGTGTTGGAGTAGGAATATATGTAATCGCTTTCCTCAGCTGAGCTCAGGAGTTTCCTATACAGTGTTGGAGTAGGAATACATGTTCGCTTTCCTAGGCTGAGTCCAGGAGCTCCCAAAGCTAATGATTATACAAGTTTATATACGAATTCGGGTAGAAGTGTACAGAAACCAATAAAAATTTCCTCAATTTTTCCCAAAATTTTCGCAAATTCTGCCTACACATGTAGTTGACCATGTGCATGTTTCCCCTCCCCCCCTCGCTGGTCGTATTAATGGAGGGTGGCTCGTTCGCTCTATGGTAGGGGTTCGCTTTGAAAACGGCGCCCATTTGGATATGCACGCGAAGATTCGCGAGCAGCTGAAAAACGACGACGAAGTTTGGGTGGAATTAGAGAGTAATTGTTGATGATTGTTTTATCATCATCGAATGGCGTCATTTCAGAGGATAAGATGGACGCTGACCGTCCCGACATCCGCATCTTGCGTAGAGACCCCTGTTGACAAAGTCGGCCCTAGCTCGTCGCTTGCCCCATTGGGTCTCAAAACGCCCTAGAGGCTCGCAGCCTCGGGTGTGATCAAACGTATTGCTGTGATCTCGACTTTGGTATTCTTGCATCATGAACCTTCCCTACTTCCACGACTGTATCTCCTCCCCCTCTACCATTGATACCATTGACGACTTTAATTTACCCCAAGTCTGGGGTCTCAGTGTCGCTGGTCTCGGCTGTTGGTTTTATGATTTATCGCACAGAAAAGCTGCGCTCGTACCACATCGATGAGGCCCCCTCCCACCCTGATCGCGTGACATGATAAAGAGTGAGCTTACGAAAGTGGCGTGGTCCGATGGTTAATTCATCATTTGGTTTTCCCTGGCGCCGGGGGGAAGTGAGTGCTGGTCTGCCATGGTTGGTCGGTCTTCCCTCTGGCTCCTATGTGGGACTATGTTGTTCGTGTAGTGATGACAGTCGATGGTTCGTGTTGGGTTTGGTAGGAGTGTTATTCCATGTAGTCTTTGGTCATTTGTTGTGATGGCTTCGCGAGGTCGGGTACGACTGCCACCAGAGGTTAACAGGATACTCTATGTAGGCCTAAATTGGGCCTATTGTGTATCTTAATGCGTTGAACCTCAGGTGCGCAATCTACCGTATAAGATCAAACCGGATGAGCTCTATGATGTTTTCGGCAAGTTCGGATCGATTCGGCAAATACGCAAGGGGAATGCTCCCGGAACTAAGGTAGTATCATTAACTCTGAGGATTGATTTTCGAACGGTCGTTGTGGT